GCACGTAACCCAAGACCTACGGTGTTTAGACTGGAAAAAACTTGCGACTTTTTCGGTCTCATATGAAAGAGCAAAGATTTCTGAGTAACATGACATTTGACGATGGAAAAAGTAATGAATGATCATTGAGCTATGACGTTTTCAAAACTACTCCCGACACAAAAATCGCGGTTTAAACATGTGGCACCATTTTCAATAAAATTAAAATATCTCATTAATTATTTGAATGAGCAGTTGGAAATACAGTTTTAAATATAAAGTATAATACAGCTATGAAAATCATAATAAAATTCTTCTGAATTTATTTAAACACTCGAACTTTCGATCACAACTTAGACCATTTAGATCATTTAGACTCTTGAAAATGATCTAAGTTGTGATCGAAAGTTCGAGTGTTTAAATAAATTCAGAAGAATTTTATTATGATTTTCATAGCAGTATTATACTTTATATTTAAAACTTTATTAAAAATATCTCATATTTGTAAAGTGATAAAGAGGTCAAATTTCTGTCATTATTTAAGTTGATATTCACATGTGCCACCACGTGTGTAGCGTGATCAACGATGAATCATCATTTTTGTATCTGTGGACTATTTTTGAAATATCTTTTCTACAAGCCGCTATGGCTGTGTGATTAAATTGTTTGGCACGTACCCCCAAGGTGCTGTGTTCGAGCCTCCGCGCTACCAGACATTGAATGATCCTGGGCAAGTCATTAACGGTTGTTTGCCTCCGATCACCCGTCCGATAGCATGCTGACTACGTTGTGACATACACCAGCCCTCGTAGCTAGTATGTGCATAGTCATTGTGTACGGGAGCTCAAGCGATTGAGCGAAAGAGCTCTGAATCAAGCTGGCCTTCTGTTCAGAGCTACAGCTAATATTAGTTGTAGGGAAGATATCGGACTTACGAAACTGTCTTCGGACAGCACCCTATAGCGCAGGGTAGCCGAAAGGCGGGGTATTCTTCCTTCCTTCCTTTTCTACACGCGAGATCACACATTTTTTGGATATCTTTGTGTCATCATGTGGTCAAGTAGCTATTGTATAGGAGTATGAAAGAGAAATGTGGAACCTTTAGGCTTAGACGAAAAATCGTGTTTTTGGACATTATAAGCGGTATTCGCTATATCGACGGATATTTGTCATAAACAATGCTGAGAACTTCGTACCTGAGTGCCATTGAGCTGTTCATCCTGTTGTGAATAGCGCAGAGAAAACAGAAAAATATTGAGATAGGAAAAGACAAAAATAAACAGGGGATAACAATAAAAATTTTGTCAACTAAATAAGCAAGTTTCTACAACACATAAGAAAAAAAATGAGTTTGATAAAAGGTTTCATTGCCGTTTTGCTAGTTATACCTAAAAATTCTACATTTCTCTTTCATACTCCTATACAATAGCTACTTGACTACATGATGACACAAAGATATCCATAAAATGTGTGTTCTCGCGTGTAGAAAAGATATTTCAAAAATAGTCCACAGATACAAAAATGATGATTCATCGTTGATCACGCTACACACGTGGTGGCACATGTAAATGCAACTTAAATCAACTTAAATAATGACAGAAATTTGACCTCTTTATCACTTTACAAATATGAGATATTTTTAATAAAGTTTTAAATATAAAGTTCATTCGTTACTTTTTCCATCGTCAAATGTCATGTTACTCAGAAATCTTTGCTCTTTCATATGAGACCGAAAAAGTCGCAAGTTTTTTCCAGTCTAAACACCGTAGGTCTTGGGTTACGTGCAATGGCTGATTTCTATCCTCATCCTCACACAAGAACAACAACGTTTAGAAAATGGTTTTTTCATCGCTATATCGACAGATATTTGTCATAAACAATGCTGAGAACTTCGTACCTGAGTGCCATTGAGCTGTTCATCCTGTTGTGAATAGCGCAGAGAAAACAGAAAAATATTGAGATAGGAAAAGACAAAAATAAACAGGAGATAACAATAAAAATTTTGTCAACTAAATAAGCAAGTTTCTACAACACATAAGAAAAAAATGAGTTTGATAAAAGGTTTCATAGCCGTTTTGCTAGTTATACTGGTGGTGGTAGTATCAATGGAATGCAATAATATTGACACAGTTATAGATGAACTAATTAATAAAGTGGCTAGTTATCAAGTAAGTTAAAATGATTTACGAACTTCAGAAGTGCTATTTGAGAAAAGAACGTGTCTTTTTCCTTAATTATAAAAGGTGTTAAAGCCAAGAAATTATACACCGCCAGCAATTTGGAAGGAAGATTTAGGTCTATATCGATCGGAAATGCGTTTCAGTTTTCATGGTAATGAAATAGAAGCAGAACTAAGAAAAAATAAATATATGTATGTTTATGACAATAATATGTTTTCTACAGCGTAAGTAAACAGTTCTCGTTCTTTTAAGGTTCAGCTAGATCAAAATTCAAGTGAATTTTATTTTTTCGATTTTAATACATATTCTGGTTCGTCTTTGGACACTGATTCCGAATAACACATTCCGAACTTCAAAAATCCTTTTCTTCGCGGAGAAAATCGCGAAATACTGAGAGCTTGTCATAAACTGAAAAAAACG